GATGCGGGAGAATAAAATGATTCACGGGACTCCCGCAAAATAGAAATATCTAAACATAAAATGTCTAAAACAAATAAATTGTTATTCATCTTTTTCACAAAAGTAACATGATTACTTTTTAAAGGAGTAGGCCTAATCAGTAATTTGATTACATTTTCAGAGTAACTTGGCCAACACTGGTTTCAGTAGTTATTTCCAGCAAAAAAAGTTCACAATAAGAGGTAAATCCGGTTCTGATATTACTGTGAAATATGAAAATATAGAGATTGATCTCCAAGAGAATATTCTTCTCAATATACTGTATATTCATGACTTTATATCATGCTTTGATACACAGTGAAAGTTTTAATAGTTATTTCCAGCAAAAGCAAAAGTTAGATATATAGTTAAGAAGAAATGTTCTTGACATCACACCTTTTTTATAAAGATTTTATCCCTTTTCTCTTTTTTAATTTTGCATATACTCCCTGTGTCAACGTGGGTTTATGCCGGGTACTCTGGTTTCCTCCCACAGCCCAAAGACGTGCAGGTTAGATTAATTGAAGACTCTAAATTGTCCCCGGATGTGTGTGTAAAGACAAGACTTGTGTATGGAGCAACTTGTGTATGGATTAACTGGTTCTCGCCATGAATATAGCCATAGATTCTGGAATGGCGTTAAGAAGAAAATAAACAAACAAACAAAACTGACTCAAACTGAAACCTGCTACAGTTTGATTTCTATAGAAATGTGGTTTGATCTATTGGGTGGACAAATATCTTGTATTTGAGTGTGGGTATTCAAAGCACGTGTGTTTAGTTTGTAGGTGTAGAGTTTCTTCCTGTCCTGCTACTATGAACAGCTTTGAACTTTGATCTACAGAAACATGAGGAGAAACTGCCTTAGACAGAGAGACAGAAAAGCAATAGAAACACAATCATGTTTTACACTTCCATTCACAAGTTTAGTCTGAAAAAGTCAGTTTTTTTTTCTATTGTATTATTTACACCTGCATGGCATTTCTGCCAGACACACCTCCGCCAGTTACATGAAAAAGTTTGCTGTATTATTTTGCTCAACAGCAAATCATTGTAAAACACATTAAAGATCAAATTATTGATTCACTCACATCTGTTCATATACATGAAGACAATGAAATACTGTGGATATTTGAAGCCGAAAAGTCTCTCATAGCTAAAATCAGCATTGAAAACCAAATCTTCTGCACATATGCTGATTACAGAATGACTGCATATGTTGATCTTTTTGATGAGAGATTCAGAGACAGACTGAAGCTGGACAATCAAACATCACAACTGAGTATGCTGGACGTTATAAACTACAGATCAGTGGAGCTGAACTGTCATCAAAAACATTCAGTGTTTCTGTTTATGGTAAGTAAAAAGCTAATTTGTCCTGTGCTTATTTCCTTAGCTATTTACATGATGAAATGCCTAATTGTGTTAATGACAGCCACAACCACTGCTCCTCATCACACTAAACACTCACTCAATACATTGAATCAATTTAATTATATATACCTAGTTTTCTCTTTATTATATCACGTTTTTCAGCTGATCTGCCTGTTTCTGAAATCAGCAGTAACTCTTCACAATGTCTAGCATCATCAATTTGTTAATTTCTGTGTTCAGTGGTGAATGTGAGTCATGTGACTCTCCTGGTACAAAGGAAACAGTTTATTGTCCAGCATCAGTGTGTCTGATCTCAGCATCAGTCTCTCTCTACCTCTGGAGGTGGAATATCAGGATAAAAACACCTACAGCTGTGTGCTCAACAATCCCATCAGCAATCAGACACAACATCTAGACATCAGGAAACTCTGTCACACATGTGCAGGTACAGCAGCACTGATATGAGTGGTTATTTACTGACCTGATCTCTTTTGTTGTAGACGGACACAATCCTCAAAGTGACTATGTTTTTAGCCATTACAGCACCGCTTCCCCAGATTCTCTCACACTCTCCTTCTCATCCCCCAGACTCATTCTCTGTGATAGTGCAGATCACTGCTGCTGCTGCTGGATCTCTGTTGATGGTTGCTGTAGTCAGGATGGGCTGCAACTGCAGGAAATGCAGAAAAACATGTCATGAATTTAAATATTAACTACAAATAATGCATTTGAAACAGAATTCTACATAGGAATGCAAGCTCTATTGTTTATAACTCACCTGTATTATTGTTGATCCAGTTCAGACACAGGAGGAGAAACTGATTCAGCAAACAAAAACACGAAAATGGTAAGACCACACATGACTGTTGCAAGAAGATGTGTTGCAGTCATTTAGTCTGATTGAAGCTTGCTGATTGAAGTTTTGTGTTAAATGTGCAGCAGGCGGTCAGTGAACAGACATGTGAATAACAGCCCAACTGTCATTATTATTACATTTAGTAGGGAGCAGATCAAAAGGATAGTTTAAGCATGTTTTAACCCATTTACATTTAGTGTTTGTACTGTTTGCACCTCAGTGTACTGTGAATACTGAAACACAGTATTTCCATTTTGCAGGGTTATTTTCAGTTTGCAGGCACAAGTTAATTAGCATAAATCAAAATTTATGACGTACGTCAACATGCCTGTGCTACTTCTAAATAGTTTTCCCAACTTGGAAATATAAATGGGCACCTGTGCCCTGTCGCACGAAGCTAGTTGATCAAACGTTCCAGTTACTAATGTAACCTTGGCTTCCTGAGATTACATGAATGAGCTTTGCATAAAACGCTATGGAGAAACTCCTGTTTGCTCTGAATACTGAAGCCTGTTTTATTAATGTTCGTGTAGCTGCACAAACAAATGACATTTCAGCCCACCAAACTGCTTATAGAAGTTGGCGCTGAATGCCATTTCATCAGAAACTTTTGAACTGATAGCAACAGTCATCGATTGCAGTTTTAGCATGACAGTGTGTGTGAGAGAGTTATAGTTGTCTGACTGCGTTAAATATATTAAAGTAAATTAATATTTTGTTAAATAAAGCCTAACTCTGGTATTCTAAAAATGGCTGAATATATTCAGTTTATTCAATTGTTGTGTATAGAAGAACCAAAGTAAAAGGTTACAAAGAGTCTGCATCTCACATTACTAGTCTTACTAAAGTTAAGCTTCTGCACCAAGCTGAAAGCTGCTGTGGTCGGTTTTCTTCAGAAATGTGGTTTGGTCTGTTGGGTGGACAGACAGAGAAATTGTATTTAGAGCATGAAGTTTGTAGGTGAAGGGCTTCTTCCTGCTCAGACACTTTAATCTACAGAAACATTGAACCATGACGAGAAATTGTTATTGACAAAGAGGGAGCTATAAGATAAATAACAGGAACACAATGATCATATTTAACTCATATTTAATACACTTACATTTACATTTATTAATTTAGCAGGCACTTTCATACAAAGCGACTTACAATTGTGGAATACATCAAGCAATTCATCTTAAAGAGGCAAACAGACACAGGAAGTGCCCGTAATGCCAAGTTTCAAGCATTGTTCAAGCTAGACAGGGAAAGGTTAAAGAAAAGAGAAAACAAAGTTTTTTATTTCTTTTTATCTTTTCTTTTTTAGGATGAAGTCAAATAGTGACGAAAGAGATGAGTTTTCAGCTGTCGTTTGAAATGTATGACTTTTTTCACATGTTATTATCATATAACTTAATACTGTATCCATAAAATTAGAGCAGTTGGCAAACTCAGTTAGGGGCCATGAGAATATAAGATAAATAACAGGAACACAATGATCATATTTAACTCATATTTAATACACTTACATTTACATTTATTAATTTAGCAGGCACTTTCATACAAAGCGACTTACAATTGTGGAATACATCAAGCAATTCATCTTAAAGAGGCAAACAGACACAGGAAGTGCCCGTAATGCCAAGTTTCAAGCATTGTTCAAGCTAGACAGGGAAAGGTTAAAGAAAA